GATTGCTGGCAGGGGTAAGACCATGCTTCCCCAACTCAGCGTTTTATTTTCACGCTTCCAGCCTGTCTCACTGGTGTGTATTACGAAGCTGTGATGAGCCTCAACCCTTGTATTATTATCACACAATTGGATGGTTGTATAGGACATTCGATGACTTGATTTTGATACTGTGTATTAATTCAGGCATGGATGATGCCCGCCCAACGAAAAGCTGTCCCTGCACCGTTAGACGCTTGATTCTCACTCAAGCTCAGTTCCAGATATCCTTTCCGTTCCGCCATATGACGGAACATCATAACATGCTTGTGATTGGAGCTTCACGGCTATGGTATATTGTGTTTGTAGGTACTTCATCAATGAGCTGACGCTATAAAACCTTGTCTTATGACACGCCAAGGTCCCCGAGGCATGAATGCGAACTCCTCATCTACACAGAATCTCTATACTTTATCGATGACATGTGTGCAAATCCTTCATGATACCAAGTTCTTCCCGGCGGGACTTGCTATGAGGGTCAAAGTAAGGAGTCTCACCACAGCCAACAGCTCTGTTGCCAAATCTCTCTCCATACCCAGCGTAGTCATTCGTCGCGCTATGAAACGTACTCCGATTATCCCATATTGCTGATTTGCGCATTTTGTCAGTATCTTAGTCTATTAGATTTAAAATTGAATACGTCTCGTCGCTACGTACCGATGTCATTCTCGTTCAGCCATTTAAAGCGCACCTGGAGATCGTGACCGTATGTTAAAAGGTCATGAAACCATCTCAGCATGTTCTGGCTTTCTCTTCGGTTCAATCCATCGATATAAGCCGGGAATGAGCCTTTTGTACCAGTCAACCCTTGACCAGCACAATATTTTGCAAAATATGAAACTAACCGACAGGGAAAATTGACTTCCACCCAGTAACGGGATTGGTTCGAACGACCTGATGATTAGCCTTGAGTCATGAATCTTGGGAAGGGGACATACAGGATGAGAAGCAGCAAGTGCTGTGCCAGCATTCTTAGGCGAGCCACGAGGTTCGGTATAAAGCTCAAATTTGCCGGTGGCGGCCATTTGGTGAAAAGTAGAACCTATGTGGGTAGCAGTGAGAGTCTCTAAGAACTTCTGGTACGGCTTGCTGATTCGGTCGTACATCTCATATCCCGAAGCCCACAAGGTGTCTCCTCCGGATTCGGGAAGCTGAGTGAGCCGCAGGGACGAATAATCCGCTGGTTCTCGTTCGAAAGAGATGTCGCTATGCCAGACAGCAGCCATGCGGCTGTAGTCGGAGTCTTTATATAGGACATTACGCTGCACAGATGAGATGTTGCTGATCTCGGCGTCAGTGCCTCCCAGTTCCCGGTTATCATTGAAAACCGGATGGATATGTAGAGAGTTGGTTGCTGGACGGCATGTAAGCTCTCCAAGTCGCAGGATCAACTTCTTTTGGAGGTCGTTGGTCAAATTGTCCTGTTTACGGAAGAATACGACACCTCGCTCGGAAACTGGAACGCGAGAGTTAGTTGTTGCCCAAACTCCTTTTCCTGTGATTGACCTACTCTTAATCGCTAGATCTCGAATGCGTTGTTCGGCATTCGAAGCATTGAGGATCTCATCCACGATGTTAGTTTCGGGATACTCGGTACCAATGATTGGAGTGAGTATGATTTGTTTGAAGGAATCAATTGATCCTGTAGACTTCAAAGGGCAGGTGGCAAGCTTGGACTTTGGAAACTCGTAGGTCTTCGGAGCTGATTCGGCCTGAAGAGCAGTGGGCGCCATTATGCTCAGTAACTTTTCACTTCAATGGTTTATATTTCCCTCGATTTGTGAAAATGAAGTACGAAACCTGAAGGGTGATAGGCAGGGCTCGTAAGCCTATGTATATTTATCTCATACACTAGGGGCGACGTATTTGCAGATTTGTAGCAAGACCATGTGCCTACATCAACCATAACATCCAATCTCAATGTGCAAATGGAACCTCCGCCTATCTGGGCTCTAAATTCTTAAGAGGGCTTAGGCACTCGGACGTTCCGAGAATACAGGGAAATCGTATGGCTTATCTAGGTGGGTCTATTAGTGACTCCCTTCCGTGACGATAAGTTAGTAAGATTGAGCAAAATCTTCGGTCGTTCCGAGATTCATCATCGCCGCTGTAAATAGCTGAATTAGAAAAGAAGAAAGACAAGGATCTCATCTCCAGGGAGGAGAGCTATTAATAAGGAAGTAGTCTAGAGGTGGCTGTTTCGCTGATTTTAGAGTTCTCATTCCTCGACAACTCCAGCTCTAAAGCACCGACCAATTCAGCAAAAATCAAAGCACAAACATGTCGATGCGTGTCAATCTTTCACGTGCAAAGTCGACTTTGCAGTCGAAGACTGTGTTAAAAGAAGCTCTCAGGGCACGAGGATCTGGAACGCACGGAGAGTCTCGGTACAACACAGATCTTCTACCTACCCCTCCTGGTGAGATACCTTGCTGCGCTGTACGGACCCCAACTAAGCCGGTGATGCAGATGAACGAAAATGGCGATGGCCTCATTACTTCTCATTCTACCTGACTATGTCACTGGGGGCAAGCTCCTACAATCTGGGTGCAACCTTCGTCGCCACGGGGCTTCTTTGGTGGCATGGGATGATTGCTGCCGTCATAGGCGGCATTCTTCTTACTGGACTAGCAATACTTCAGAGTCGGGGTGCGACTCAGTATTTCGTCGGGTTTCCTGTGTATGTCCGTGCCTCCGGCGGTGTTCGTGGCGCAAGTCTTTACATTATTTGCCGCTGCGTCGTCGCCATTGTCTATTTCTCGACCCAGACATATTATGGTGGCCGGATTACATCCGTGTTACTTCGAGCAATTTTCGGAAATGGGTTTCATAACATTCCAAACCATCTTCCGGCTTCTGCTGGCATCACCTCGCGAGACTTGATCAGTTTTTTTGTATTCTGGCTGGTAGGTTATTACCTCATAGGAAGGCAAGCCTTTGGGTAGAGCGCTAAGTCGGAACAGGCTCAATATCCTCTAATGTTCACACACCCTAGAGTTTTGCGCCACTTCTTCGTCGCGAAGGCTGTGTTCTCATCCGCCGCTCTGTTCGGTGTCCTGGGATGGGCGGTTCACGCCAACGGAGATTCTCTTGGTGATTTCAAATATTCAGCCGACCAGGATAGTCTCTCCGGTGCTGCGTTGGCGTGGCCTATGCTGAGTGCAATCAATTCGGTGATGGGAGCTTTGTGCGCTATCCTAATGAACCAACCGGATGTTGCTCGATACGCGAATAGCTACAAAGATGTGACCTGGTCTCAAGCCGCTGGTATCATGACTAGCAAGGTCATCGTGATATTCATCGGTGCTTGCACAACGTCGGCTTCTAAGCAAATCCTCGGCAAAGCTTATTGGAACATCTGGGATCTATATACCGCAATCCTTGATCAACACTGGAACTCGCCTGCTCGTGCTGGCATTGCATTCGCCTCTTTAGGCGTCATGTTAGCTATACTGGTTACTAATGCCGGAGCAAACTCGCTTCCTGTGGGCGCAGATCTAACGGGAATGTGGCCCAAGTGGCTGACTATCGTTCGTGGCCAGATTCTCTGCGCGACGTTAGCACCACTGCTTGTACCATGGAAGATGATATCTAGCGCGCAGGCTTTCCTCACCTTCCTCGGCTCCTATCCCATTTTTCTAATGCCTGCGGTTGCTTGTATGATCGTCGACTACTGGTTCATTCGCCGAGGCAACCTTCATGTCCCTTCCTTGTATGTTACATACAAAGGAGCGCCTTACACCTATTACAGAGGCTGGAACTTACGCATGCTGGCCGCCTGGATATGCGGCGTCGCATCATCGATTCACGGTCTAGTTGGCGCATTTGACAAGACCTTCATCAGCGAGGGCAGTAGAAATCTGTATAAAATAAGCTTCCTTGTGTCTGGGTTTGTTGGCGCTTTTGCTTACACAGTCACCTGTCTGATTTGGCGCCCGCAAATTCTGCCGCAAGAGGTTAACATGACTCAGAAACTCAAGTTCGAAGAGTTGGCCAAGACGCAAGGCTTCCTAGAAGGAGAAAACTTGGCCACGATCAACGGAACGGGGATAATCCAAGGCGTGGGGGATAGTGAGCAGGCATCACAGCATAGTATCATCATTGATAATAAGGGCACTAAAGTCGTCATGGAAGTTTGAACATGAATAGCATAACAATGTGAACTAAAATAGCGTTCTGTAATAGAGACCAGAAATTATACAGCATCTCTTTAGATAGTTCGAGCCACACGATGAACATTCGTTCTGTGCATACACAGTTCACTTGAGATTACGCGGAGACATCCGTTCTCATAACCTCGAGTCTTAGCAAGCTCGCATGTATATCGTAGTTCGCAATAAATATAATCTCACCTAACTATAGATCGTAGTACAACTCAGATGCAACAAAGTGTATTTCACTATTGAAAATCTCGCTACGTACTGCTATTCACTTATCCTTGATCCTTCATTGTTATCAAAGTCTTCTAGTCCCTCAGTTAAGGTCGCCCGCCGTGAACTTCGTCAGGCACCGAAACTTCCTATACCCTTCGAGGAAGTAATATATGCTGTCATGGCAGTTGTAATCACCATTAGGAAACACAATGCAGTCTCCGTAGGTGTTGCCATCCACTATGTGAGCAAAATTAGCATGTTTAACATGACAGGCACGAAGGAGGAATCTAAAAGTGCATGATCAGAGGTCAGATCATTAAAAGACTTACATCCCACCATCGTCCAGCCTCGATCCTTATATAGGGCTGAGAACTGTGTCAGATCTATCAAAATACTCGTGTTTGAAATTCTAGACTTACTCCAGTGGTAAACCGGGTCGGTTCCATGGAAGTTCATCTCTAAGACATCGATGTTTCCTGGTGGAGGCTTGTAATCACAACCACTTCCTGCACAGCGGACACCGGTCTTTGTCCCACTGACATCGCCGCTATTAACAAACGTTTTGGCGGCGAAAACTTCGTCGCAGTTCTTTGGCTCGGCCTCGAAAACCTGCCAGACTTTATTGATCGAAACTCCGACATCGGTGACAATGGTTCGCTCCACCATATAAACATCGAAATTGGCAGTAACACAAGAGAAAGCAGCCAGCCATAGGCTGATGCGAAGTAGAGAAAGCTTCATGATAGTGGCTTGTATGTAACATAGACTTAGACACTCATACCGAAAGACCGAAGAGAGAAACGAAATATCAGCTCTTTTGATAGAAAGATTTATACTTTTGTTCCTACTACAAATATCATGAATCATTCGGACTACCGATAAAAAGCAAGCCGATGCTAAATGCGATACGTTGTATTGATGGAAGAGCAACTCATCCGCATTTAGAACCGGCGCTAATGATGATTGGTGCTTTCGGACTGGGTCACATCTTCCAGCTGGTTCCGACGCCTTACCTCAAAGTCGGCTGATAACCTGCATCAAACCTCGTAACTATGGACTGTGGGGCATTTTGGTGTTGCTGAATATGCCTCTGCAAGTAATCAAGTGATCGAAATTGCTGATCGCGATCTCCAAAGTGATGCCTAGAATATGGAAGGAGTCAGGACAACCCTTTCAATCAAGAGGTTACACAACGCAATCCTTTTTTGCCACGGCCGAGGCATTCTCTCTTTCTTTCCAAAGCATCAATCCTTTCTGGATCTGATCTCAGATTCTTACCGGACAAGAAGATTCCCATCCAATCAGACCTAAGGCGTGCTGGCAGGGAAGGAACTTGGGGGCTTGAGCCATGTCGGAGAGGATGCTTTAGAGAAGCTGAGACATACGAACTCTCGCAAAAAAAGGCTTAAGTAATGTATCTCACAATAGAGATGCAATCCCATAAGTACGGGTCAACAAGTTTGACAAATGTTTTTAGAGACCGATCAAATTGCCTTTATTTACCGAGCTTCTCGATCGGGAAGCGGCCAATGAAATGCCGAACAGATTGATGCCTTCGGGGGAGTCCGAGTCGTTGATGCTACTAATATGTCGATGGTTGCAATTTTGACACTAGAAACTTGAGAAAAGAAGTTAGTCCATATGCAGATAAAGAAATGTCTTCAGTTGAAAGGCTTGGTCCATTTCATCTTGTGGATCAATTCCATCTTGAGATTGTTCAAGTGTCGCTTGCATTTGATGCGCATCGCTTAGCCGGAAATAACAAAACCCCGCTACCACACACCATAAGAATGTCTCCTCACTAGTTGACGTTCGTTTCCAATGTCTTCCCAATACTTCAGAAATGTAATCACGGCATCATGGCCGAGACCTCAAAGATCTCAAATCTGTATCCTCGAGAGCCTGGCACATCGCAAGCTTCTCCTAACTATCAAGAGCCCTATCAAGACGATTTCATCCTTTCTGATTTCACATTTACTAGTGGCGGATCGTTGCCAAAGCTGCGAATTCACTATCGGACGATAGGTACGCTCAGACGCGACAATGAAGGGCACGCAGTCAATGCAGTAATGATTATGCATGGAACCGGTGGCAGTGGAAAGCAATTCCTTGTTGATCAGTTCGCTGGGCAGCTTTTCGTTCCTGGTGGACTGCTCGACGCGTCCCGATACTTCATTATCCTGCGAGACGGTATCGGCCATGGCGACTCAAGCAAACCTAGTGATGGGCTACGAGCGGAGTTTCCTCGCTATGGGTACGAGGACATGGTCCGAGCAGACTACAGGTTACTAACAGAAGGTCTTGGCGTGGACCATTTGCGACTTGTCATGGGCACCTCAAGTATGTCTTCAACACATAATCCCGTACATATAAAGCGATTGCTGACTCCACGACCCATGCATCAGTGGGTGGAATGCACTCCTGGGTTTGGGGTGGAATGTATCCGGACTTTAGTAAGCATTTCGGGGCAATTGTCTTGTCTATATGGCCAATTTTCAGCCCTTCAAGAGAACGGCTCTTATCACAATTATGAATTCGCTTTGAGAGCCAATACGTTGCTGACTCTACGCCTTCTAGTGGATGCTTTGATGCCTCTGGCATCTCTGCCCATGCAAATCTCTGGCCGCAACCGTATGTTTCGGAAGATGATTTTGGATGGCATCAAGAAGGACCCTCAGTGGCAAGGTGGAAAATACATAGATCAGCCATATGGCCTTGTTGCAGCGGTCTATGTGCTGACGTTCATGTCGTCAATTCCTCTTCAGTGGCAAAAGGCGGCTCCGGACAAAGACAGCGCAGATGCTTTTCTTGATCGGCGTATCGCAGCTGCCTTGGATACAATGGATGCCAATGATCTATTATACCAAGTAGATGCGTCGTATGACTACGATCCACGACCGAGTCTCGGTAAAATCAAGGCTCCGCTCCTTGCAGTCAACTCGGCCGATGATCAGGTGAATCCACCCGAACTAGGTATACTCGAAAACGAGATCAAGCATGTGTCTTGTGGACGCGCAATTGTCCTCCCTATAACGGATAAGACGATGGGTCACGGCTCGCATACGTATGCAACATTGTGGAAAGATCTTCTGGCGTCTTTATTGCAAGAGTCAGAGATGCCACAGCCGAAATCCATTCGTCGTTCTTGGCTGCAATTTCTGTTGTTCCGTTGATATGAAAACAGGTAGATGCTGTGCTCTTTCAGCTGATTGTTAACTTATTCTACATTAATTGCCATCTTTTATCGGAAGGTTCCCACCTCATTAATTTCAGTTTTACAGCTCTTTCCCCTTTATTACAATAGTACAGAATACATAGAGACCGAAGGTCTTAGGAACAAGGCATTTGGTACACCTTATTTGACGACTTGCTAGATATAGAAATGGGTTGATGGCTTGTTGGGTGTGGATGTCTTATGCGAAGGAAAACGCAAGTAACCCGAGGAAAAGATCACTTGTAACATACTGCGAAGGAAAACGTACAAAACCCTCGATTCGGCTAGATGCAGCATTGACATGAAGGTCCCAAGGTCTGATAGTTGACGACTTCCTTCGTATATCAGGAGATGGTACTGGCCAAGTCGAGAAACGTCGACGATGAGTTTGCACTTCTACATAGTGTCGACGATCAACTCTTTACTATGGGTAGTAAGGAGGCTAAGACGAACTCAATAATCTTTGATTTTCCCAATCTCTCAAGATGGGCTGATCTGGTACTCCCCCATTACGATTGTACTGGAAAGAGAACAGGACCCTCACAGACCACTGAGGTACCACTAGACCAACGCCAACTACCTAACCTAATCGTCAACCATGATGTCGGCCACCAGATGCCCGTTGGACGCTACGGAACAGTATAGTACATGTACTGTACAGGCCTTCAACCACACCCTAGCCAAACCATCCTCCATCCATCCACCAGCTCCTTTGAGCGTAAGTTTCCCACAACGTTCTGCCAAAATCTATAGGTACTTTTACTACTACACATTTGCCATCATCATTTAATAAAGCGAAAAAGCCAGATCGATTCGGAAGCCCGCGTGTTTGTTGCTGCTGGGACTGCGGTGCATCGATCGCCAAGCCCGGATAACATCAATATCTCAGACCACATACTGGCCTCAAAGTCTCGTACACGCCGAAAAAATTGGGTTTGGGTGTCGACGGAGCCTAGGTTTGATTGCAAAAGTGAAGAGTCATGGTTGACTTATATGGATCCCATATCGCCTAGATCCATACCTCAGAAAACCTTAAGCGACTGCTTTCTCCGATGCAAAAGTGTGACAAAAGAGAGCCCCGCTAAGCCTAGTGGTAAGCTCCCTGGCCCCTGACAGGGGTCAATTCA